TTTTTTTTTTTTTTTCTTTCCCTTTCCCTCACCTCCTCCCTCCTTCTCTGTCTGGTCTCCCCTTCCCCCATACCCCACTGTGTCATTAATTGTTCTCATATCAAAATTGAATACATAGGATGCATACTTCTCCATTCCCGTGATGCTTCACTAAGAATAATGTGTTCCACCTCCATCCAGGTTAGTACAAATGCTGCAAAATCTCCATTTTTTATGGCTGAATAATATTCCATGATATACACGTACCACAGCTTACCAATCCATTCCTGGGTTGAAGGACATTTAGGCTGTTTCCACATTTTAGTGATTGTAAATTGGGCTGTGATAAACAGCCTAGTACAAGTGTCTTTATAATAAAAGGGTTTTTTTCCCTTCTGGATTGATGCCCAGTAATGGGATTGCAGGATCAATCGGGAGGTCTAGGTTGAGTTCTTTGAGGTTTCTCCATATTTCCTTCCAAAAAGGTTAGATTAATTTGCAGTCCCACCAGCAGTAAAAGTATTCCTTTTTCTCCACATCCATGCCAGCATCTACAGTTTTGAGATTTTGTGATACAGGCCATTCTTGCTGGGTTTAGGTGATATCTCAGGGTGGTTTTAATTAGCATTTCTCTAATAATTAGGGATGATGAACATTTTTCATGTGTTTGCTAGCCATTCATCTGTCGTCTTTAGAGAAGATTGTATTAACCTCTTCCCTATTGATGTATGGGATTGTTGGTTTTTTTCTTGCAGATTAACTGAAGTTATGTACAGCTCCTGGTTATTAAGCTTTTGTCTGATTCAAAATATGCAAAAAACTAAAAATCTTTTTAAGACTTGCAGAGGACTTTTGTTCTTTAATACTTTTCCATGGGAAACTATTAAAACTATGGCCAAATTACTTTGTTTTAAAGTAATTTAAAATGACTCTTCTACTTGGTTATAGTACCAAGTAAATATATGTTTAGATTCATCTTTCTCATTTTGCTTTTGATTTTTAGGAATTGCTTTATTGCTTTTAATTTTTTATTTTTTTAACACAAGGTCTTGCTCCGTTGCCCGTGCTGAAGTGTAGCGGTGGGATCATAGTTCACTACAACCTCAAATCCTGGGTTCAAGTGGTCTCCTTGCCTCTGCCGCCTTAGTAGCTGGGATTTCAGATGTGTGCTATTATGCCTGGATAATTTTTCCATTTTTTTGTAGAGACAAGGCTTACAACGTAGTTCAGGCTAAGAAATTGCTTTTTTTAAATTTATGTAAAAGATGTACATAGTTCCAAAGTCAGATCTCCCAAACTAGGTATATTTAGAAAAGTCTGCTTTGGTCCTTTCTTTTCCACTGTGTTCTACTCTTTTTCCCTAAGACAGTTTTATATGCTTTATTTTTACTATCTGTTCTTCCTTTTAAAATATGTATTTATATGTGTCCTACTGCTCTTGTTAGAAAAACAGTAGCTGTACACATTATTCTCCATGTTTTCACATCATAGTAAGGAGACCACTCCTATGGAGGGACTCTCACGTTTCTTTCAGTGCTTCGTTGTGCAGATGTGCTGTACTGGGTTGACTCTCTGCTGTTTGCTGTTTGAATGGTGCTGTCGTAGATGGCTTAGTGCTGTGTCATTTAGTACATTTGTCAATTGAGGCCAGGGAGAGAGAGTCCTAAAGGTTGGATTGCTGGTGTATTAGTCTCCTAGAGGTGCCATAACAAAATAGCACACACCGAGTGGCTTAAAAAATAGAAATGGGTGCTGGGCAGCGCCTATTGCTCAAAGGGTTAGGGTGCCCCATATGCCAGAGGTGGTGGGTTCAAACCCAGCCCCAGCAAAAAAAAGAGACCAAAAAAAAAAAAAAAAAATGGGGGTTAGAAGTTCAAGATCAAGATGTCAGCAGGGTTGGTTTCTTCTGAGGCCTCTCTCCTTGACTTACAGACAGTTACCTGTGTCTTCACATGGCCTTTTCTCTGTATGTGTGCCCTAGGTTCTTTCCCTGTCCAGATTTCTACTTATAAGGACACCAGTTATATTGGATTAAGGCCCACCCTAAAGGCCTCCTTTTAACTTAATCACCATTTAAAGTCTTGGGCTAGGGGTTAGGCTTCAATGTAAACCTTGAAGGAACACAATTCAGCCCACTGAATTGTGGGTGAGAGGGTGAATGTGTATGTAACTGGGCTGAATATTGCCAAATTTCCTTCTCTAGGTGTTGTAAACATTTTGCATGCTCACGCCCAATGTACCAAGTCTCTTTCACTACATGGCCTCCCCAACAAAATGTATTGTCAAAATTTTGAATTTTTGCCAGAAGTATTATCTCTGAGCTTTTAATTTGGGTTTTCCTTATTATAAGTGAGATTGAGCATCATAAGTTTAAGGACTCATTTGTCAGGGTCCTCATTTGCCAGACCTGTGGAGCTGGCAGGGATCAACTGAAGAAATACAGAGTTAGAAACGAAGGTAAAGAGAGAGACATGAGACTCAGAATAGAATTAAAGGTAGAACTCTCAAGTCCATTGCCCGTTAGTGGCAATGGCACCAAGTGTTTGCTCCACTCTGCTTTTATTGGAATCTGTTTGCTCACAGGGTAGAGGAAACCAAGACAGCCGCAGTTCTCTGAGTGAGCGTATCAGCTCCTATTGTTATTATTTAAGGGTTTGAGTAGCCTTAAGAAATCTGAAACCTGAGCCTTGTCTTGGGAGAGCATCTCACTTGAGATCTCACATACAGATTTCTAGGGAGGTGTTAAACTGCACTAGTTCCCTGGGGAGTAAAATGCCACTGGCGTTAATCTCTGAGGAATCGGTGGGAGGAGGCATTTTCCTCCCATCACCACCACAGAGGATCTTCCTCTGTGATAAGGGATATGAGCTCTTCTGCCCGTATCTCAGGGCTGGAGCTACTCTCCTGATCTCTGCCCAGGCAAATGCAAATCTCCACAGTGGGTATCTGCTTTGCCTGTTTAGTGGGCAGGAAACAACCCAGTGAATGTATCTTTCTAGGTCTTTGCCATAAATCTCTTCTATTTTCCTCAGAGTTCTCACAGACCCAACAGGGGTGTTTATAAGCTGTATCCCCAACAGGCTAGAATTCAGAAAAGACTGGAAGCTTGCTGGCAGTGGCTAGCTTAAATGTAAACTAGCTGACTTCTCTTTGTTCCGACTCACTCAGCCTACTTTTTAATTTTCCCCTTTTTCTGAAGATGTTTTTCCTTGCCACGAATAGGTTCTTTGGTCCCCATTCTCCCTGCACCATTATTTCTTTGTTTAAACAATTCATATCCTTTACCCATTTTACTGTAGAGTTGTTTTTATTTATATTTTATAAGTTCTTTATAGGCTGAAGATATTAACCCTTTTTCTCTGATAAGTTCAGTTATTTTTTCCAGTTTATCTTTGGTCTTTTACTTTGTTTTTATAATGGTTAGTTGTTTTTGTTTTTTTAACCATGCAAGAATTTTTATAGAGTCAAATTTGTCAGTCTCTTTCCTTATTGTTTCTGGATTGTGAGTCATAGTTAGAAAAAGTTCCCCCTTCCTTAGTTATAGAAGTTCAAGTCTTTTAAAGTGAATTTGTTTTTAAATAATTTGGCGGCACCCATAGCTCAGTGGGTAAGGTGCTGGCCGCATACACCCAGGCTTGTGGGTTCGAACCCAGCCTGGGCCAGCTAAACAACAATGACAACTGCAACAAAAAAAATAGCCATGTGTTATGGCAGGCACCTGTAGTCCCAGCTACTTGGGAGGCTAAGGCAAGAGAATCACTTAAGCCCCAGAGATAGAGGTTGCTGTGAGCTGTTACACTGTAGTGGTACTCTACCACAGGCAACATAGTGAGACTGTCTCAAAAAAAAAAAAAAATTAAATAATTTATCCAGCATTTATCGCTTTTAGCAATAACAAGTTTATGTGAAAAGTCAAGGCCTCTAATAGCAGAAATTAGAAGTTTAAAATTTCTTTTTTAAATGTAAGAATATTTTTAATTTGGATATGTCATTTCTTAATGTCTTCTTTTTAGAATAAAAAAGTCTATTTTAAATTTAGCACTGATAGTCTTCTGGGTTTTAGGAATTTACATGTGCTATATTCATATATATATAAAATTAAGGTTCAAAGAAATCATAAATATCAATGTATCAATGTATGTTTATTTCTAAAGCTGTTACAGTTGTGGTGAATGAGGAGAAGTAAATAACACTCTCCATAAGTCTGAGTTCATCACTTTGGCATCTGTTTTGTCCCTTGGTGGAATCATTTTAGCTTTTCACTCTTTCTTTTAGATCTGTCATTTGTACGCGCCTTTGAGTTTACCTATGTTAATGTTTACGGCACTCATGTTTTGGTAAGTGCTGCTCATGAAGCCAGAGTGGAGAAATTCATTTACGTCAGCACAGATGAAGTATATGGAGGCAGTCTTGATAAGGTGAGCTTAGAATATGTACATTTCACCTACTTCCTACGTACCACAGTTCTCCAGAATGTTACTTCATTGTCTCTTACATTCAGATCAAGAACAGAAGAATTTCATGCCATCCCAGATAGGGAACAGCTACAGATTTATTTGTAATTTTGCAAGAGGCTAGCAGATACCTAGCCTAACTTTTATCCTAGTTTTATGAATGATGAATGTTATTCCCCCAGGCCACAGCATAAATTAGTTAGGCTGCAGCATACACCTGCTCACTTTTCTCCTCTAGTCGAGAAGTGATTGTGAAATTATTGTAAAAACTGTAATCTATTCTTTTTTTTATCATTCCTAAGTATTATACTTTTTTTCCCCAGATTAATGTGAGGGTACAAACAACTAGGTTATAATGAGTATTATACTTTTTATGCAGAAAAGATAATCCATTTCCCAGACTCTATTTTATATAGCTATTGTGTGCAGTGACCTCTTTTGTTTTTATTAAAGGGTCTTGCTCTGTTGCCTGGGCTATAGAGTGCAGTAGCACCTTCATATAAAGCTCACTGCAACCTCCTAAACTGGGCTCAAGTGATCCTGCTGTCTCAGCGTCCCGGATAGCTGGGACTGTAGTTGCATACCCACCATGCCCCGATAATTTTTCTGTTTTTTTTTTAAATAGGGCATCAATTATTGTTCAGGTTGGTCTTGAACTCTTGGCCTCAAGCGATCTTCCTGTCTCAGCCCCCCCAAATGCTGGAATTAGGTGTGAGCCACTATGTCCAGCCTCGTTTTGTTTTATTTATTTTATTTTTTAATAATGTTTTTAGTTTACCAAAACACACATAGTAGAAAAGGTCCTATAGTTCAAAAAGACTTACAATGAGAAAAAGCAGACCCTGACCACTTCTGCCTGATTCCCAGCCCTGCTTCTTAGAAGTGGCTATTTTCCTATCTCTTTGCAATGTTTTTTTTTTTTTTTTTGAGACAGAGTCTCACTATGTTGCCCTCAGTTGAGTGCTGTGGCATCACAGCTCACAGCAACCTCAAACTCTTGGGCTTAAGCAATGCTCTTGCCTCAGCCTCCCAAGTACCTGGGACTACAGGCACCTGCCACAACCCCTGACTATTTTTTGTTGCAGTTGTCATTGTTGTTTAGCTGGTGTGGGCCAAGTTCGAACCTGCCAGCCTCAGTGTATTTGGCTGGCACTGTAACCACTGTGCTACGGGTGCTGAGTGCTCTTTGTAATTTTTATCAGGTAAACTTCTTCCTTCCTGCACTTTAGCCAACCTGCATCAGATCTGACACAATAGCCAGAATAATTTTTAAAATACAGTAGAACTTCTATACGTGGTCCACCCAAAGGACTGTAACAAACTGGTCAGTATACAGAGGTAGTCAGCATAAGGAAGTGGGCCTGCTGTACTGATATGTGCTTAGTATGCATATCAGGTCTGTGAAAATTAGGTCAACTTAAGGAGGTGGTCAGTGTAGGGAGGTGGCCAAAATGGCGGTTCTACTGTATAAGTCAAATCATGGCATTACCCTGCTCAAATAGCCCATCACTATTTTCACATTGGCCTTCAAAGTTTGTCGTCTTTGGGCTCTTTCTAGCTCTCGGACCACATCTACCCCTTCTCCCTCATACCCGCCTTCTTGGAGTTCTGTTGGACACACTTCCGTCTCAGGGCCTTTGCTCATGATGTTCTCTGCCTGTCTCATGGGATTGTTGGGAGCATTAAAGAAGTTATTATGTGTCCCTGGAAAAATACCAGGCACATGGGATTCCAGAAACGGTTTTTTCAATCGACATTTCAAGTTTGTAGTATGTTTTTCTGGTTTTTATACTTAGAAGGTATCCATAACACTTGTCTTCTAAATATATATTTTTAAAATTAGGAATTTGATGAATCTTCACCCAAACAACCTACAAATCCTTATGCATCCTCTAAAGCAGCTGCTGAATGTTTTGTCCAATCTTACTGGGAACGATACAAGGTAAAAATTGATTTCAGAAACTCTTGCAACATTGTCCTTTGGACTTAAGTGTTAAAACTCCAGGACAGCTTTAGCAAAACTTGATTTTTAGAGTAGAAGACGTAGATTGAGAAAAGTTGGTATTAAAGAATTTTTAAAACTGGTGTCCTATATTGTGTGGACAAAGTAGGGCCTACCTGTTCCTATTCAATTTATCAATAAAGAAGTAATTTGAATATATATTTTTTCCTATTTCAGTAATAGGTAGAGTTACAGCTGTAGTGAAAGACCTCTTGGAATCCTATGAGTGGAGGAAGACAAGGGAGGACAGATTCCCTTTCCTGCCGTGCGCTCTTCTCTGCATGATTCAGCTTTCTTGGCTCCTTCTGAATGGGAAGTAGATTTGCCTCTGGTGGCCCTGACAGTGTCAGTGCGGGAGCCTTACCCAGTATGAGTCATCGGCTTCAATCCCCTGCATCTGGCACCCCCTGATCTTTGTGCATTGCTAGGGACTGGGTCAGAAAGGCAAGCCATGGAATTCCTTCTGATTCTCTCACCTTTCGTGCTCTAATAATATTGTTCCTTTTCCCTTATATAGTGGCTCTCTGTATTTATAAGGCTTGGTGCAATGGAGAGCATGAAATAAGTTTAACACCTGAACATAATTAGAGTCCTGGAGGTGGTCTCTTAGATAATTAGATGGAAAGATACTGAGTGTTCTGCTGTCAGACTTACACAACTGCTTCCATCTCTCATCAGCCTTCCCTTGTCGCAGTAAAAAGAACATTCCTCCTCTGCCTTATCTGAATCCCATCGTCTCCTGTCTTTTTAGGAACCTTATATTAGAAAAAAATGCTTTACTCTGTCCCTAAGGTGTTGTAGAATAGGCAGAAATGCCCATATTTTAGAACTCTGTTTATTTTTAAATAATCATTATTATTAGACTTTTCCAAAACTTTAATGTTGAATATTCTTTTAAGTTTCCAGTTGTCATCACAAGAAGCAGTAATGTTTATGGACCACATCAATATCCAGAAAAGGTAAACTGTACTTCTGAATTCATAATTTTTTAGTGGTTACAACTTTTCATTATTTAAAATAATTTCTCTTTGGTTATTAATCTTAAATAATTTACACTGTAATTATACGTAATCATATATACTCTATATGCTACATGTACATCCTGGCAGACTTAGAGTTTCAAGACTGAGTTTAAGTCTCAACTTGACAGTCACAGGTGGCTTAGTCTTAGGCCTTAGGCCCTAGTCTTTAAATGGAGAGGTAGTGATAATACTTAGGAACAATTTGGAAGGCTCCAGTGAGATGATATATGTGAAAAGTGCCTCATGCTTTTTAGACTTTCAAGTGCGGTAATAGACTTCTCCACTGCTATCAGTCTTGGGTAAGACTCTCAGTTTCCAGTCACGCCAACATGTCAGAATATACAGAAACTTAAAAGCTAGTTAGATAGTGATGCAGGAAGCTTGTGTACATAAACTGTCTTACTCATAGCTGGTTAACTGTACCCCAACTCATTGCTGTAGGCGTGAATGTCTTCCACCAGGTAATACAAGTAGCAAATAAAGAAATGTAGGCTGAAGGCCTTTCAAAAGGCTGAAAACACCTGTGTGTTTGGCTCTGCATCCTTAAACCCAATTTTTGGTTACTGTTGGTTGCTCTGCCTAAGTTTGTAGACTGGGTTTTCTGGTTACATTGATCTGTTTACCCAAAAGAAAGAGCCATGTCATGATCTGCAGCTATTAATATCTACTTTGTTTAAGCGTCCTTTGAATCTAAGAGCACTGGGATTTACTTTTTATAAATTTCACAAGCACTTACTGAGTCGGTACAATAGGTAAAACAGTAAGTACAATAAGATTGCTGCCCTTACAAAATCAATACAAAAGTGAGCTTTATAATAAAAGCAACTGTTTGATGAAGACTTTTTCTGAATTTTTATCCAGGTACCTGGTCTTTATGAAACAGCAAACTATCATAGAGTTCTTTTTCTTTTTATTTTGAGACAGAGTTTCACTATGTCACCCTTGGTAGAGTACCTTGGCTCATAGCAACCTCAAACTCTTGGGCTTAAGCAATTTTCTTGCCTCAGCCTCCCAAATAGCTGGGACTATAGGCACCCACCACATTTATTATGTTGTTGTTGTTTAGCAGTCGCTGACCGGGTTCTAACCCACCAGCCCTGGTCTGTGTGGCTGGCTCCCTAACCACTGAGCTATGGGCGCTGAGCCCACAGAGTTCTTCTTTTTTCTTTTTGCCGTTTTTGGCTGGGGCTGGGTTTGAACTCGCCACCTCCAGCATATGGGATCAGCGCCCTACCCTTTTGAGCCACAGGCACCACCCAGAGTTCTTTTTCTTATTAAATATAGTAGGGTTTTCTTCATGAGCTCCTGATGAAAAGATTATCCATATGTATATTTCTTAATAATCTTTTAGTTTTATCATATGTTCAAATTCATATTAATGAATTTCCTAAATCTGAAATGATATTTTAATTTTTTTTAGGTTATTCCAAAATTTATATCTTTACTACAGCATGACAGGAAATGGTATGTTATTATTTACCTTTGTACTCTTATGCTTTTCTAGTATATTAGAATATTTGATGACACTCTTGAAAATCATAAAGTCTTAAAGTTAGAGGCCACAGAATTCAATGTCCTACCAAATTTAAGAATCCCTTCTGTGGTATAATTGTTTTTCAAGTAATTATAATCTGTAATACATTTTTACTTACTAAGATAATTTCAATTCTTAAATGATTTATCATAGAACTTTGAGTTGTAGCATTAGAACTTGACATGTATTTTTATATTATTTGACTTTCTCAAAGGACACATTTAATTCATAGGACTATGGATAATTCTTCAAAACAAACTTAGAGTATAAAATTGAAAACATATTTTACAGTGGTCACTTAAATGTTTGCCCTTTTTTCTGTTGAGTATTTTAGGAGGTTTGCAGATTAAGAACTACAGAGGATACTTAGAAAAGTTATGAGAATTTGTATTTTTGGTAAAAGATTTATAGGGTCCTTGTTGGAATAGGCTCCTCTGGAGTTGTACCCAGTCATTGCTTCCCCCAGCTTATAAGTTGCTTTTTTACAGTGTTATTCTTTTTCATTTACTCTATTTAGTTGTATTCATGGATCAGGGCTTCAAACAAGAAATTTCCTTTATGCTACTGATGTAGTAGAAGCATTTCTCACTGTCCTCAAAAAGGGGAAACCAGGTGAAATTTATAACATTGGAACCAATTTTGAAATGTCAGTTATCCAGCTTGCCAAAGAACTAATACAACTGGTAAGTATGAATTGTAAAAAGGTGGTGTGTTTAAAATTGTCTATCACTAATTTAGTCAAAATCAACAGTTTACCCAATTTAAAAGGAAGGAAGTAGAATAATAATAGCTATCTGTCCTGTGTATGTCTTAATTTAAGTTATATAATTCTTTTAGTAATGGCTTTTTGGGAAAAGAACAAGTCATTAAATGTACCTGCCCTAGTTGTAAGACATACCGTCATTTCAGAAATATAAAATTGTGTGTCCTAGAATCAAGAAATAATGTTACATAAAATATGGTTATGGACATACATATGTATTAGGGAACATCATTTATAAATCTTAGGATTTAATAGAAAGAGGAACTGAGTTAAAACCAAAATCCAAGAAAACTTATTTTCTCTCATAGCTTATATGATGTGTATGTAGTCTTTCCAAGCTTCAGATGGAATTTTGGTTATAAAGTACAGTATTGAAAGTGTAATTAAAATAAATGTTTAGTTTAGCTGTTTCCCCTGCTTTGAGGTGGTTGTTTTTCTTTTTAACCACCTATTAAATACTGTTGTTATTCTCTGATCTCATTTTATAATTTTAATCAAAAGCTTTCTCCATTTTGACAGATAAAAGAGACCAATTCAGAGTCTGAAATGGAAAATTGGGTGGATTATGTTAATGATAGGTGAGTAACAAAACACTGGGGAAAGGTTGTAAAATCTTAGGTACTTAGAAAATTTTAAAACATGTAGACAACTGAAAATTAGTTTATCTCTTTTGAGTTTTCTGGTAAACACCTTTTCTGATTATAAATGTCAAACAGATTAAGTGTAGTATTCTAACTCAGTAGTTGTGTGACTTGAAAGTTATTAACTCTTTCCAAGTCTGTTGTTTCCTCCAGTATGAAATAGAGATAATAATATCTTGGTTATAAAAGTATTGTAAGGTTTAATTATAATGTATGTAAAGTACCTGACTCAGGAGGGCTTGGCACAACAGAGTACTAAAAGTTTATGTGTATTTGCCTATTCATTTATTAAACATTTATTGAGTTTTTTCTGTGTGCCAGGCACTATACTCACTGGCACAGGTTGTGATTGAAAAAAGAAAAGGATAAGCCACAGAGAAGATGAGGCACCTGGGATTATGGGTGATGTTTTTCAATGTGTACTTTATTTTACAAATTTTCTGCAAAAAGCCTACTGGGAATTTTTTTTTTAAAGAAAAAACTTTAATTATGGTAAAGATGCGTGGATACAAATGTGAATTTGTAACTATATTGACAATGTTGTTTTAAATGTTTTGTTTTCTAAGACCTACCAACGACATGAGATACCCAATGAAGTCAGAAAAAATACATGGCTTAGGATGGAGACCTAAAGTGCCTTGGAAAGAAGGAATAAAGAAAACAAGTGTGTTGTGAATTGATTATGGGGGTGGGGGTGATTTAGAAAAAAAAATGTTTTTTTTGAGACAGAGCCTCAAGCTGTCCCCCTGGGTAGAGTGCCATGGCATCACAGCTCATAGCAACCTCCAACTCCTGGGCTCAAGTGAGTCTTCTGCCTCTGCCTCCCAAGTAGCTGGGACCACAGGCACCCGCCACAACGCCCGGCTATTTTTTTGGTTGCAGCCGTCATTGTTGTTGTTTTGGCAGGCTCGGGCTGGATTTGAACTTGCCACCTTAGGTGTATGTGGCTGGCACCTTAGCCACTTGAGCCACAGGCACCGAGCCGATTTAGAAAAATTTAAAGGAAAAGTAAGTTATTTTAGAACACTCTAGAAATGCAGCACAGTATTGTGATGAATCATTTATACTTTTTGAATATTACATTTATTATATTTCTAGCAATAGTCTTATGTTTTCTAAACATCTTAAATTTCACAGATAAGACTTCTGATTAGTCGTCCTATATCTTATTAGCATTAATTAAACACCTGTTTTATTAGGGGCGGGTGGGGTGGTTCATACCTATGATCCTAGCACTCTGGGAGGCCGAGGTGGGTGGACTGCTTGAGGTCAGGAGTTGGAGACCAGCCTGAGAAAAAGTGAGATCCCATCTATAAAAACTAGCTGGGTGTCATGTCAGGTATCTGTAGTCCCAGCTACTCGGGAGGCTGAGGCAAGTGAATCACTTGAGCCCCATAGTTGGAAGTTGCTGTGAGCTATTACACTACGACACTCTATGGAGAGTGACAAAGTGAGACTCTGTCTCAGGAAAAAAAAAAAAAGCTATTTTTTGATTCTGAGGTCCACTTTTTTTTAACTTTCTTCATACTTCTGAAAGGTATATTTGTTAATAATTATTGGTATCTTATAGTCTTAATAATTGCAGCTTTTTTCTTAGTGATATGTAAAATATGGTCCATCTTAAGATCATTTAAGTTGAATAATGATAGTTGTGGTCTTTGAAGATCTTTTTTATGTTGAAACAAATTTAGTATGTGCAAAAAATCTATTAAGTACATACAAAATCTGCATATATGTGTTAAAGCTCTAGAAATGTACTCATGAGAAACGATCTTGATTCAGAGCTTGAAATGCAAAATACTTGTGTTGAATATAAAATGACAAATTAAAAATAACTAAAAACTATCAATTTTTTTAAACTAAAAACAACATAAAGCAACATAAATAATTTCACATATTAAGGGAAGCTCACATCATCTCTCTGTGCTTCTTCTGCGGTGTTACCATATTTACATTAACAAACACTGTATCAGACTTTTTTTCTATAAAATAACTTTAAAACCAGTGCCTTATTCTCCCCACACTGAATTCCTTGAAATCAGAATGTCTTAAATATTTTCACCAGTAAGTTAATATTAAAGGACTTTTGAAGTTAAAAAGAAAAAAAAAAGGTTGATTTTTAATGATTAAGTTTTTCAGATGATGAAATGTCTTCTGTTTAATTTCATTATTAAGTTCAAAATCAAATTGTTACATCATTAGGCATCCTGTGTCTGCTGGTTAGGCCTCCCGAGTAGCTGAGACTACAGGCACCTGCCCTCAAGTCTTGATGGGCAAGACTTTTTCTTACCTAGCAAGAACTCAGTTACATATAGGTTAACTGATGCATAACTATTTATTTTTCATAAAATAAAATTGTCTTTTTTTTTTCCTATCAGTTGAATGGTACAGAGAGAATTTTCACAACTGGAAGAATGCAGAAAAGGCATTAGAACCCTTTCCAGTACAGCCACCATTTACATAGGACGGTTTTCAGAGAAAGAAGAAAATTATCCTACCTCCACAAGTGATGTGAAACCAGGTGACCAAATGAGGTGTCCTCTTTTCATGTGGAATTAGATTCATGACTTCTTTGGAAGACTTTCAGCATTAGGACAGCATTTAAATATCAAAATTCTTTCAGAAACCCTTTCTCCAGGAAATTAGGAAACAGTAGATATAGAAAGGCTCTCCCCTAGGAGTGGGCCGGGAAGAAGCTGTCTGCTTTTGAGAACAAGGACTGGCAGTGGCTCTGGGCAAGTGGCACCTTTGCTGGCTTTGAACTCAGTCAGCCTCCCAGCCTTTCCGAATGCCCAGACAGTCTCTGAAGTTTTCATTTTTAGACAACATAGGATGAGTCATATGCCCTAATTCCATTTTTTAAAGTTCCGACGTGCTATAATTGCTTTTAAAATGGAATAAAATAGAAGCATATCTAGTACTTTTTAACTTTGATAAATTTATAAAATTAAGTTGAATGCTTTTTTAAAGAAGGATGTAAAGTTTTTATGTTTTCAAAATCATTTGTTGACCTATATAACCTGAGTCAGAGAAATAGTTTTGTCATGTATTTACTGTTTAAAATAATTTTATTTATAAAATTGTCAATATCTTAATGTATTTAATGTACAATGGGGACATTTTAGTAATAAATGCTTTTATTTTGCTGTAGAAAATTTAAAAATATTTCATTATGCATTTTTAATCTCTCTTTGTCCTAAAGACTTCAAGATGACTTAATATTGGATTCAGAAAGGGAAAGGGACCTGAGCAACCCTCTATTAAAAATGTAGATCTTGGCTTGGCACCTGTGGCTCAAGTAGCTAAGGCACCAGCCACATACACCTGAGCTGGCGGGTTTGAATCCAGCCCAGCCCGCCAAACAACAATGACGGCTGCAACCAAAAAATAGCCAGGCGTTGTGGCAGGCGCCTCTGGTCCCAGCTACTTGGGAGGCTGAGGCAGGAGACTCATTGGAGCCCAGGAGTTGGAGGTTGCTATGAGCTGTGATACCACGGCACTCTACCCAGGCGGACAGTTTGAGGCTCTGTCTAAAAAAAAAAAAATGTCGGTCTTAATATGGGGCTTCGTAACCCTGCATTAACAGGTCTTACTGCACTTAATTCCTGCCTCCCAAGTGCCCATTGACCCAGGAATGGATTAACAAGCTGCAGTGTATGTATACCCCATGGAATACTATTGAGCCATAAAAAAGATGGAGATTTTACATTTTTCATATTAACCTGGCTGAAGTTGAAACACATTCTTCTTAGCAACGTATCAAGAATGGAGAAGCGAGTATGCAGTGTACTCAGTATATGAAGTCATTAGATGAACCAGTACACACCCACACAAGAAAAAAACTCAATTCAAGTTGTGGGGAGGGAGATCAGCATGCTCCCACCTGATGGGCACAATGTAGACAGTGTATGGCACACCTCCTGGTGGCGGGACAGGAGAATAACAGGGACCCTACCCTATCTAACCAATGCAAACACTGTAATCTAATTGTACCCAGATTTTAATCTGAAATTTAAAAAAATAACATTTACAAATAAAAAAGGAATAGTCAAAAGAGTGGATAGGAAGAAAACAGAAGGAAATGTCATCACAGAAGCCACAGGGACAGACACGTGGCAGCAGGCAGGTGGCCAGCAGCAGCCCAGCAAGGCAGAGACCAACGAGCATCTGCTGGCTGTGGGAATGTCCAGGAAAATTTCCTAGAATGTGGGGAGAAGAAAACTGCAGTCATGGTAAATTCCCTCCCCACGGTCCCTCCTTTCAGCTCTAGGAACAGCTGTGCTCACACATGGCCACAGCCACCGCCTTAGGACGTCCAGTCCCGTGGGGCCTTTGAAGGCTCTGTGCCTCTGCACGGGAATGCTGTCTGTCCCACCAGGAATGTACTTTTCTCTTTGTGTGAAGAATTCCTGACCAACCTTCAAAACCCCACTTAAATGTCACCTACCCACTGAAGTTGGCCTCATCTGCAGATGTTGAATTTCTGCCCACTGTATTTCCATTGCGTATGATTTCGTATGATTTATCTGTTTGGCCCACTAGACTCGGAGTTTCTGGGAGTGTGATCATCTCTGCATCTATGGGCCTGCACACTCAGCTTCTCTATT